TATCGTGAACACTCCGCTATGGCTGTCAGTAGTTGCAACGGGATTGCGCTTTCTGTGTGAAGCGGAACGAGCTATTGGTGTGGCTGAAATGAATGGCTCGTAAAGAGATTGCCTTTGGCGTTTGCAAAAGTTTGCTTTCTGCTTTTACTTTATTTTTGTTTTTTTTTTGCTCGTTTTTGCTTCTCAATTGTGGTTGTTGTTGTTGCTTTGAGGCGTTTTTAATTTTGTTTTTTTGTTTTTCAATGAACTCAAAAATTAATTAAATACCTCACACTTTTCATTTCCTCTTACAACGCCGGCTGCTTGCACGTTGGCGTCAAAATGAATTTTGCAGAACACAGCCTAAGAGGAGCAAAATCACTGGCTTATTTTATATTGGTATAGATGTGAGTGTATATACATTTATTCTTATAAATAACAGTGTGCACACTGCAGCAGGACTGGTAGGAAATTTAGTAAAGTTTGTACCTGAAATGTACTGGTACATGGTAGTGGAGGAATCTTTGAAAGTAGCTTAATTCCTCTACAAAATATTCTGAATTTGCATTGCAATACAACAAAAATACTTGAAGTATTGAGTAAATAAAAATTTGTGCACATGACATTCTTAATCATACAATCTTGCAAAAAGCTTTAATAAGCTCTCACCTAATGAATATACCGTGAATATTGGCGAATTTATATTTCAATTCGGACTCGTCCATTTAAACTATGTACGCAAGCCTGATCGATAAAAATTTTTTTCCTAGTTCCGAATGACGAAAAAGTTAAAAAGAAACGGTGCTCAAAAAATCATCGTGTTGACATCGGAGTGATAACAGAGGATCTCACCATTGCGAACATTTATATCGACGTAACACATTTCCATACCGCACAAAATACTTGAAAATGTAGTTTTTTCTTTGTCAGTCAAGATGGTTAACCGTTTAGAATGTGATTGAAAATATTTCAGTAATATGTTCATATGTTATATGCAATAAGTCTGTGCATATTTTTTTATACACTTACTGCTCTCTTTTATTTTGTACCATATGTACGTTTTTCGATTAAAAGTGAAAACGATTTGTTTAGAAAAATGTATTTTCATATCAAAAATTATTAAAATTGTTCAGAATACGATACAGAATTCGTTTGGTAATTACGGAGCAAACTGGAATGGTTTATAAGAAAGGTTTATTTTATAATCAAAGGGAACGATAGAAATGATTAGGATGACACTTCTTCCCAGACGTGATAAATATACTCGCTGGATAGAAATTTAACAACAATGAAGAAGTCATTGCTGATATGGAGCAAATTACAACTCGAAGAACAAAAAAGGTATCGAAAGACAATAGGTGTATGGCCCTTGAAGACAGCTAAGTAAATTGATTAAGAACATCGAATTTTGCAAAAAAGAACTTTGCCTTTTGCCAGTCAAATATTTATGAAATATTAAATACTCGTAAATGCTGCTCCCACTAGTGCTCAGAGTTTTCTCAATCTCACGATAGGTCGCATGACGATCTTGTAATATCAATTAGCGCATAGCGAAATTCGTTTTGATCTATGAACTCGATTGAATTCACAATACCATCGAGAAACACTGGCCCTTGATGGAGCTTCATCGCCAAAAATTAAATTAAGTTGAAAGATGCACTGTTGCTGAGTTAATCCACGTCGAAAGTTTTAAAAAGTAATCGCGCGAAAATGTTTGCGATTTAATAAAATTTTTTTTGACCGAGATGAATATTTAAGTTACTATAAACAGCACAAATAGCGCTCGTAAGTAAAATTGTTCTGAGTAAGTATAACATCAAAAATATCAAATTTTACGATGAAGTTGTGAGTTACCAAATTGCAACACTAGAGTTGCCAAACCTCGAAATATATATTTTTACTTCGCTGAAATTTTGATGCGAAGAGTTCGTTTATTTGTATTTTATATTTGAGAAACCTTAAGCTTGCGGTAGTAATTAGTTGGTTTTAGTATTAAGAAGCTTGGAGAGAATATTTTTTTAAAGATACTAATAAAAAGAAAATAGGACCTCATAAAAGGTAGCATTAGTGCTGACGTTCATATACATTTTCCTACTAGGGATCTTAGATATATATATATCAATATTTGCGAATTATTCGAACGTACAAGGTATTTATATGCTAAACTACAAGCTTCAATATCCCCACAACTAAATGACGTGCTAAGCGTATATAATATGCATACATATGTACGATGTATATATACTGAAGTGCTTGTAGTTATGTTGAAATGTTTAATTTGCAGGCGTTACTAATGACTTGTATACACCAATGCACACACAAATATACACATTTACATATATATATATAAGCACATATTGGGCTTGCTACAATCAGCGAGTAAGTCGGCAGCGTGAGTGGGCACCACTTAACTGTTCCTTCCTCTATCATATTCCAACGGTGTGCGTAGAACTCATTCGCATTCCTTGCCATTCATTCTCAAAGACTCCTTAGCCTACAATCAAAAACACCATGACACACGCCTAAACGCTTAAGAAAAGTTTGAGAAAAAAATCATACTTATTGAGCGCAGTGTCGCCGGCCCGCCTTGAACCGACCGCTCCATCGTCTCGCTGGTGCTTGGGCGCTGCACCCACGCTTTGCGCCTCAATGTTTGCGACTACATGAGTGTTTAAAGTTAGTAGCTGTTTGCCTGCATTATGAGCACCATAATAGTTGCCACCAACTAGTAGCATATTCTCAACTACAGAAATATACAAACTTACACACACACATAGATATGGCGGTAAGTATACCATGGTGCTAGTGCCACCATTGTGTTGTTCAATCTTCGCGCTAACGAAGCGCCCCAACGCCACCAAGTCTTGTGTCAGAATGTAGGAAAGAGCAAGCCAGCGTCTAGGCATGTGAGAAAGAGAGTGCGCGCGACGCCAGGAGTTTCACGCGTTGTGCGATGGTGGATACCCATTACCACAGCATAATATTTATATCAGCGTTGTGTGCGTGAGTGAGTGTGGAGTACGACGACAATGACGACGAAACGGTAATATCCTTGTGTTTGGTGGAAGGAAAAAGGAAGTGGATAATACATCCGTCCTTGTTGCTTCGTGTGTCACCCACTAGAAAGGGCACCGCACGCTTACTTCAACGGTTTGTGCTGGCAGTGGTGTTGTGTTGTTGTGGGACCGTATGATGGAGAGAGGCTTCAGATTACTATATCTAAACACCCACACTGAAAATGGTGTGTGTTTATTTCGGAGTAGATATGAATTCTTCTCGAGCTGCAGTTTTACGAGAGCGTTTGTAAGCTGAAATTCTGAAACCTGTGCGTTTTGAAATTTAGACTGTTTTTCAATTTTTATTTTTCGTTCTTTTTTCTAAATTAATTCTAAATTTCGATAATAAGATTACTTATTTTGTCCTAGAGTTTGAGATTATATTCATATGTTTCATATATGATATTTTTGTGAGCTGGTTCTAGCTTTTTATTCAGGGATCGTGTCCTAACCATGAAAAATTCTCTTTCGAATAGCTTTTAATTATTAAAAATATTATCACATCAGACCATTTTTTTCCCATTCAAAATTATAGTTAAGTCCTATAGTCAAGAAAGTTGTTCATTCATGAAAATTAAATATTAAAGAATTTTTGTTTTTCGTTTCACTATATAGGTATTTTATTGATCAAATCAGAGAAAAAGTAATCAAATGATTTATATAAAATAGTTACCTAACTAACATATTCAGAAAATATGCCCGAAAGTGGATTTTAATACTTTTTCTATATGAATTGAAAATTTCCAGGAAACAGTAGTTACTTTTTGTATCATAAATAGTAAATCCCAAAATAAGGTTTGGAATCATAAAAATGTCTTTAAAATTTTTTTTAGTTCTGTTTACATCTTATATACATTTGTCTTTAAATTATACTTAATTTTTAGGTTTAATGAGATTAAATATTCACTACAGTTTTTTTTTTTGAATATTTGAAAAAAATAAATATTTTTTATTTTTAACAAAAATAATATACTCGAATATAACCACAATATCATATAGTGAAGCACGCCCATTAGCCCAGACCGCACTTGTAGACCTTCAGCGGTGCCCAATTTCGCATATCACATTGGTATGTTTTATTTTTTATTATTTTTATTTTTTTTTACATATTTTTCAATATTAATTTGTATGTTTTTCAATAATTTGGCAAAAATTTCCGACTATTTTCCTTGTGCGTTTCCTTTCTTCCTGCCCACATATCCTGTCAATTCGCACTCCAGCACCGCACGCGCTCTCACTCTCTCCGCCAGTAGTTGAATCTCTCGTCAACTCATTGATGCGTAGAAACATTTGTAAAGCTCGTTTTTGTATTGAGAATAACCAGCGCATGCACACGTATCTATGCGTATGTATGTGTGCTTCTATGTGTGAGTACGTCGACTGCTTTTGTGTGCGCGCTGTGCATGTGTGAGTAGGCCACACCTTGTCTTGACGCTGATTGGTGTACCAACGGAAAATGGATTGTTGGTGTGTGAGCAGGGCTTCAAGTGTTGGTGTTGCCATCAATATGGGTGCTTTATGCATATAACGTTATTATTGTTGCGCGCTTTGTGTTATATTGGTGCTACTAGTGTATTTCTCTTGCTGTTAACGCGCTTACGTTGGGATTAAGCGAACACGCATACAAGAACTGCAGAGGAACACCCCTAAAGTGTAGTTGAGGCAATGAAACCGAAACGACACTAGTGAGCAATACCAACTGCGCAAACCGTTGGTGGGTGGGTGGTGTACATGTGTGTGTAGCGAAGTCAAACGTCGAGTCAACCAACCCACATTCACCACATCCGCAAACTCACCCCTGCTGCTGGTGTGCTTTTCGCTTAACGTGGTTGGCAGTGGGTGTGTTGGCGGTGCACAACATGGCAGGGGGTTGTTCGGTGTGGTATGATGCGGCGACTGCAATCGGGCTGCGACAGAGCCCGGTAACTGGGCAGGATATGCGCGATTTGGTGACGGAATGAAATCAATTGTTACGTTGCCGTGCCACAGATCGGTCGCAATCCGGTGTAATAAAGACGAACGTGCAAAGTATTCCACACAAAATTATATTACAAAAACAGCAGTCACTGCTACGAGCTTAAGTGTTTGTTGTAGTTTTACATAATCCACATTATACGTTTAGGCCTGCAGCGCTACAGGTGCAAACCTAAGCCAATATCAGTGAATAATACTTGAGCAAAAGTACGGAAAATAGAAACTGTTAAGCAAAGATTTTCACAATCGAAAATTTTCAAGTGACTTTCTATTGACAAGGCACAGCGCTACTAAAGAGACTACCAGACTAAATTAATTACATATTATTCTACTTAAATATAGATAAATCTATGCGCAAACATCACGCCAATACGCGTACGCATTTGAAAAATATATAAATAGGTAGTGCTGAAGTGCTTGTGCTGCCAACGAACAGTCGGCGTTCCAGCGAAGGCGGCGGCAGCGACCAAAGTTGTCCGGAAGTCGAGGTGTCCGGTAACGGTAACCGGTTCCGATCGTCATTTTTCCCGTTCCTTTTCCTGTTCCGCCAGTGTGCCAAAGTAAGGCACCATCTAGCCTGCCCGCGCGCCACCAGAGGCCAGCGCGTACATACACATGTACGTTTGTGTGTAGCATTTGAAAGCGCTCACCTATACATAAACACTTAATATATATATTACAAATACTAAGGCATTGCCACATATAAATAAATTCACATTCAGTGAATGCGCGTTGTTACATTTGAAATAAATTATATTGAAGGAGTGTCGGTTACGGCAATTCACATCTTTTGCTGACCGCCCAACAAACATTTGCGAGCGCGCATTGTTCCAGCGCAAGTTTCACGTGGGCATTAGAAAAACTTTTGTGTGACGACAGCGGCTGCAGCAACAACAAAGCGCTCGTCGACCAAATTGTTGGTCTCCGGTGTTATTACCTTCCGGTGTGACCGACAAAATTACACATACAAATATAAATATTTGAAGGATTCGGTTGCGGTTTGACGTGAGCACATGATTTCACATACTAATTTTGCCATTTTATTGCTCACAAGTGTATAAACTTGAACGCTGTTAAATCTTTTTTCAGCTATAAACCGATTTGTTCCTTCGAATTCTCGCAACTTTTATGGCTATTTTAAATTTGTGAATATTTATGTCGAACAAAATTGGATTTATACCAATTAAATTGTGCTATTCGCTTTTAGTAACTGTAGAAAAATTATAAACTTAATCTTGTTTAGTGCAACTCTTTGTGCAAAGTGAACTGTAAATCATTGTCAGTGCATTGCGTGTTGTTTAGTGCAACTGCGCACATTTGCCGTCGGCAGTGTGCTGGATAACGCAAAAATTGCCGCCGCCCATTTGTGTCCTGGTGCCATGATGCTTGACATTAAAACATCAGCTGATTATTTGTCACGTTCGACGGGAAGTTTTAGCAATTTTTCAATGTTATTCGCAGGTGAGTTCCGAAATATATCGAAAGGCGATTTAATTTCAAGCTGTTATGATTATTTAGAATGGGATACTATTTAAAATTATTTTGTTTTTTTGAATATATGATAAAAAGGTTTACATTCTGTGATAAAGTGTTTTTTTTTTTACTTTTTATGCTATTTAATTGATGATTTTTATGAACTTTAAAGATGGGAATCATTATATTTTTATGCCAAAAATTCAAAGACTTAGACTATCTCAAGTCTCAGCTTATAGTTATTTTAAATAAATATAATTAGATAAATTATTTTGCTTCAGTGTTTACTAGAGAACTTTACCGATATGTGCAAAAAAATTTTCTAAAATAAAAATTTTATCAGAAACTTACATAGTTTTTTTCTATATATTAGTAGGCACTACCGTTCTAACCTGAAATATGCAATGCTTCAAATATGCGATATAAAATATATATTAGTACTAGGAGATCCGGCCACGCGTTGTTATGGCTTTGTGCATTAAGCAGTATTATAATAAACTATTCAATGCAGTGAAAATATTATATACGAAAAAAGGCGAAAACGTTATTGCCGGCTTAAGAATCCAAGTGGTTTTACTTGAAATCGACATAAAAACAGTTTTTAATGGAAGAAATAATGAATTTTCGCATTGGAATTTTAATTAAAATTATATTTAAAATTATTATTTTTTTTTTTTTGAACATATGTTTATGTTTAGAAATATACCTATATTTTTATTTATAAGTTGTTTTAATTTTTCATAATTGAGATATAAACTAACCTAACTTTCAAGTTCGATCAAACTGGACACACTGTGCTAAATTTTACTAAAATTGGTCCGTAGCTTTGTAGTTACCGTGGATAAAATGTGACACGTAATTTTTATCTAACCATATACTTTATTTGGTTCATTAATTTGTCATACTGTCAGGGTTCAATCGACGTTATGTAGTATAGGAGTTCTATAGAAGGAAATTAATTATTCGAAATTAATTTTAAGAAAAGTGAGAACAAAAAATTAATATATAGCGCTAATTGAAAATTAAGCAATAAAGAAAGACCAATGTATAGCCGATATGAAGTCCTAGAATGATCACTGATATAGTTTAAATGATAATGAAGTTAGGAACAGTGATTTATGGAATAGAAAATTGAGCTAAACATAGCTATAAGCAATTAATTTTCATTTGTCTCTGTTAAAGTATGTGGCGCCGGCAAAACCACACATTTGATCAATCTATTTGCTAATTACTCGTAAAAATATGTTTGATTCAATGAACAAAATATAACTTCAGAAAGTTTAACAAATATTTTACTTAAAGGAATGCGACTGAAACTGTTTAAAATGATTTTTATTATTAATTTGAGCATTACTATCCGATTTAGCTAATTTTTGCAATAAAGAGTACATGTATGGTATTTGAGATAAAATTTTTTATATGTATATTAAGAAATGTTATAAAATATGTGTTGAAATAAATTTTCAAACACAATGTTTAAATGAAGCTTAGCTTTAAAACACTACGCAGTTTGCAACCCTCAATTTTCAACGGCATTGACCAGTTTCCATTGAATTTTGGTATATTTATATTCAGCATGCTCATATAGTACTTTCTGTTTTACTTGTTTACTATATAAGTCTAGCATTAAAATTTTTCTCGATTTTGTTACAGATTCTTCGTACAAATCCTCTTGGGGATCGCATGGTTCTACGCAGTCGCAAGGTAAGTTAAAACACATTCTTTAATCACGTCACGACATTTATTGTTATACTTTTGCTGAATATATGTGGAGAGCATATTGTATCTTACGATATGTGAAATAGTATAGACAATAAAAATTGTTTGTAATTTAAGGCCTCCTTTTCTCTTCAACTTAGCTTAAGGCTTTTAATTTATCCAACACTGTAAAAACATAATAGGGATTGAGATTGCATGAGGGCACCAAATGCAAAAGTGCTATACCAAAGCGATCACGAGTTCGAGAAGACCCCAATGAAGATTTATAGCAACTTTAAGTGAAACAAAGAATTTGAAGTATCAAACTCTCGTGAATGACAAACAAACGAAAATTGAGCAAACGTTTTACGAATTTGTCTTATTACATGCCTCTTACTTCGGAAAAACCACAAAGAAATAGTTAATTTTATGATTGAAGAGACTTTATTAATTAACAAAATTTCACTGAAATATGGGTATTTATTTGTAATATGATAGCTGGCATGGGGTTACAGTTATTTTGTTACATTTTATTGCTCTTATTAGCCTCGCTCTCCTAGCGGATCTGACATACTTTTTCCAGATAAAGCTGCAATGGGTCTCAGGACATAGTGATATCCTCGGGAACTGTGTAGCAGATTAACTAGCCAGAACAGGCACTACCCTACAACTATATTTCGATAAAGAGGGCATATAAATGCCTCTGGCAATTTGTAGATATTGAATCGACAAACATAGCTGAGTCTCAGTAGGAGTACTAACAGGCCACGGTCTTATAGGCAGACATGCGAGTAGACTTGGAACGCCATATAGCGAATATTGTAGAATCTGTTAGGAAGTAGAAGAGGAAGAGACTTTAAACATATTATATGCGACTGTATGGCTCTCCATAGGAAAAGAATCGCAGCCATCGGTCGAGGGTTTCTTGACGACGTCTTGGAGGTTGCACAGATAAAACTTGTCTTACCGATAAAGTTCATCAGAAGTATGGGGTGGTTCAGAGAGAAGATAATAGAGTGAGTGGACTTTGGTCCTACTGGTATCACAATGGGCCTCCTAAAGGCCTAGGTGTGTCAATATACAGCCACTCTACCTACCAATTGCAAACTTTGCAGCAATTGCATTTTTTTGCGATTGTTTTGTTTGTTTGAAAGGGTTTTGCAATGCCTAGGGGATCCCCTAATAAGTTAGAATTTTTCATTTTCTTAAGTAATAATAATCTATAATTCACTATTACTAAAGTTTCGAAGTGTTTAAAATTACTGAAAATCATCATCACCACTGTACAACTTCTCAATCACTGTAAAACTTCTAAGTGGCAATAATGAAAGCTTTTTTTAGTTTCAAAGTTTCTCAACACCTGTGGTAGAACGCACCCATTTACAGGTTCACACCCGATGGTATAATATATACGAATATGTATATGTGAATGTGCATGTATTTGCGTATATGTAGTTCAATAAATCGACGCCTACCAGAAACACACGGTCACACACACATACACATCTGTTGAAATGACAGCGCAAAGGTGTGAAAATCATTTCGTGTATTCGATTAGTCCTTGTGAACACGCACATTAAAGGCGTTGCCTATTCATGTGTGTAAACTTAACCCAATGTATGCATAGAAGTAAAGAAACACACACATATATGTACATAAATACCCTGCAAGAAAGTGTCATTAACAGCCGTTGGCTAGCAATAAATAGTTTCACACCATTGCAATATTTTCCAAAAGGGTAGCTGAGCATTATTAATGCGCCTAAATGGCTATGCCCTTCTACCCCTTAGTTACCTTAAAAAAAACATACATACGAGTAGATTTGTGCATTTTGTTCAACTTCATTCGACAATTTTCTACAATGGGCTCACTCAAGCGTGCAATTTAAACAAATCGACAATCAATAACAACAAATAATATTTTCATTCAAATGAACTTGTACTTACACACATAAACGCATATGTTTACACAATTGAATGACTGGTTGAAAGAAGTCGAAATCTTAACCTGAAACATGGGTTGTGCATGTAAATAGTATCTGCGCATTTGGGTTGGGCGATTTATTTGAAGATAATGACGTGTTAAGATGACTGTGCATGAAAGCGAATTTACTTAACAGATGCAGGAGTGAGTATAGTTCTTGGTTTGTTGATTGACAGTTAGTGGGCAGAAGGGGGACATATTGGCTCTTTATGTGCTCGATCGTACTATATACTATAAGCTGACTGGCTAATCAGATGAGTTACTTTTACAAATGAAATAATTAAAATATAATACTCATATAATAAGTACTAATTTATGAGTGAAGGATTATACCAGAGATACTATTTGATTACTATTTTAGTAGAATGGTCTTTATTGTAGAAATAAGTAATATTTTTTCAAAAATGTCTGAGTTTGCACGTCATAATTTTTACTTTTCAATTATTGAAATAAAATACGTTATAAGCCTCGACTGGGATGGTCTTCAGCGAATGACTTTTAATGGCTTTAATCTACTTATGGCGCATTCGCCCGAAGCGTCTATTACCGTTTTGAAGTCAGTTACAATTATGCTAGAATGTGACTGAGCATTATCTTGGTAAAAAATTCATAAATTTTCTGCTCTCCGGTCGTTTAAGACGAATAGCTTCACGTAGACTCCTCAAAACCGCCAACTAGTATGACTTATTGATCGTTTAACCCCGTGAAACGATTTTATGATGAATCATACCACAGTAATCAAATAAATCGATGGGCATCACCTTACTTTCTGACCGGCTTTGACTAGTTTTTTTGGTTTTCTCTCATTTTTGTAGCGCAATTTGCTAGATTTTGACCTCATATTTATAAATCGTCAGTCGCGTTGACAAGCATCTTAGTTTGGTAAATGATTCAGGTTCTCTGGTATGAGTCTAACATTGACACGCTTCATACCCAAAATATTAACTAAAATGTGTTGAGTCGATCCCTAAGGGAGGTTAAAATTTTCTGCTATCACTCTGATGCCAAAACCACGTTTTTAAACACTGTTCCTTTAACTTTTTCGTTACTATCGTTTTTAACAGAGGTGGATAGCTGACTTGCATGAAGCAAGCTTTCGATGACTTCACGAACTTCACTAAAGGCTTTGTGCCAATCAAATACTTATGATCGTAAAAAAGTAGACACCTCAAAACTATTTTGCATCATTTTTAACGATTCCATTGAAAATATAAAATTGCAGAAAACTTTGTTACATTTTTTCTATGGTAGAAATTGCCGGACAAACTATCTGAGCAGTAAACAAAGAGATGCTAATTAACATATAGAGATCAAACTTCACACGAACTTAAAAAAGGTTGTACCAATCCAGCAATATTTTTTTCGATTCAGTTCGCGCGCAGTTTATATGGACCAGTCCAGGCTAAATTCAGATCAGGTGTTACAACTATATTATTATCGGAGGATTTCAGTCCAACATTCAGCATAAGTTTTTCAACTAAATAATTTTTATGTTTTTCAAGTCCATGTTGTCTGTCTTGTTGATAGAGTTTATGCAAGCACCCATTACAGCCAATATTATTTTTGAGATATTCAACAGGATAATTGGGGTTTATATAATAAACGGATCTGGATTTAAATTCGGGCACTGATTGTCGAAATTCTCAATTCAATGGCCCCTTTAATTGAGATTTATTTATTATTATTTTGTAAACATTTAAATAATCTTACAGCAGTGTAAATTTGTGTTTTGCAAAAGGATTCTTTCCTCAAAAATTGAAACCATAATTATTCTTCATATTTATTCTAACTCTTAGCATTTAATACATTTTTTGCAACATTTCACATATAATGTCATTCTTATACATTCCTACACATAAGTAAGTGAAAAAGTTTGTATTCAATCACAGCATGTCCTGTGGAGTTTCAGCTTCGTTGCCTGCGACTTACAACATAAAGCGCAAGTTGTATGGAATACGAAAAACCCAAAAGTTTGGCTTGAACACCATGCCACGTACTGCTTTCAAGCCACACCACCACCCCACTTTGTATTGTGCGCGCTTGTCGCTTGAGTGGCATCACAAAGGACATCATCAGCGACATCACTGTCACACCAAATCACACCAATTCGCAATGCTAGCATACATACATTGTTATTGTTGCACAAAGTTAACTGTGATTGCGCTTTTCGTTGGTGGCTGCGTACATTCGTGCGTTGTTGTACGCGTGTTCTCGCAAAGTGACAACCAAAATAGAAAAATAAAAGCACGAGCATGTTGTTTTTGCTGTTGCTGTGTTGCTGCTGGCGGTGTCACAGCTGTGTGTCATCGCCTGTGGGTGTAATTTCTATAGCGCCTACTTTTGTCACTTCTTCTCGCTTTTTTGGCAACACAACAACTTTCATTGTTCTTCGGCTAGCCGCTTTGTGTTGGGTGCGATTGGCTGTGTTGCGCTCGTTGTTTGTGTTGTTGCACGTTTTGTTTTCGCACTGTTGCGTTCTGGAACAATTTTAAATTGAATCGCTTGCGGCATTGTTTCATCGCTTTGTAATCACAATCTATTAAAAAGTTCCTCATGCCAACAACCTTTGATTGTGATTTTGGTTTTGTTTTTGTGTTTTTGGTGTTTGTTATTTTGAGTGTCATTTGGTGTTTGTGCAATCTTCTGAAAAAGGGTATTTGATGCACAGCTATGTGTGTACACATAATATAGTGTGTTTGTTTTCATAGATCGGCTTGCGGTTGATAAGATATTAGCCCTGAGGTGGCTTCTTAAGCTGTCAGTCATAATTTGTTGATTTTATGTCACTTTGAAGAGCTCTCTGCATGAGACATGGCCATCGAAAGGGGAGAGTAATTTGGTTATGTAATTTTAAGTTCTATTACGGTTTGGTTTTCAGATGAAAGAAGAGGGAAATATATTTTACTTTATTTAAATTTGTTTACAACGCCATATTATTCCATGGTTTATTTTCGACATAGTCTTTTGCAAAAAGTATTAAGATAAAGTTTTAGAGATCAGTTTCTTGTGATTGTCTCAGTACCTTGAGTGATTTTATAATCATATTCAGTTTTATACTACTGAGCTGTGGTTATAGGGATTCTCCAAACCTATAAGTCACCATATGGATTCTATGTTCCATCTCTTATTTTGTTATAACGGTATTTAAATAAAAATATATTTAGTTTAGCACCAATTTGGACCAATATTTTTGTTTTATTTCTTGAAAAGGTGTAAGGTATGAAATTACCCGAAATTTTTTATGAGATGGATCTTATGGTTTTGAGTGAATGAATATTATCGACCCTTTCTCTATACAAGTAGTTTTCATTGTTTTATTTGATGATATTCGCGAACGAACGTTCACTAATGATTACTAAGTAAAGTTAAGGACTGTTCACATTATATATGGTACAATTCACATATTTGAAGTATATAATTCATGCTTTGATAAAACATTTGTACATTCCTTGTTACCTCGGCTTGATTTATTGTAAAAACTAATACCGTCATTGCTTAGCTTCAGAATTCATCAAATTTGCGTCTCTTAATGGTTTCTAATGATTCCAAATTCGAAGTAATGAAGATCTTAGCGCTGGAATAAAATTGTAACACCCAGTAGGAAACGTCGGAAATCCTATAAAGTGTGTATATAAATGATTAGCGTGAAGAGCTGAGTTGATTTAGCTATAACTGTCTATATATATGCGAACTAGTCCCTCAGTTTCTGAGATATCGATCTGAACTTTCATACACGTACTTTAACCGCAAGAAGTTTCTCATTTGTCGAAATCGTCTATATCGGATCACTATAAAATATAGTTATTATAGCGATACGAACTGATCGAACAAAATTAAGTCCTTATTTTGAAAAATTTTTTATTTGATAATATATTATATTTTAACGAAATATGACATGGTTTTTATCCGAGACAGCTCGAGAATCTCCGAATAAATTGCTCAGATAGGACAACTACAGCATATAGCTGCCCAACACACTGACCGATCAACATCAAGATAAATATCTTTTTAAACCTTCTTATGATATAAGAAATGCATCTGTGAAGGATATTATAGCTTCGGTGCGACCGAGGTTAACGTATTTTTTTGTAATTTTTCTTTCTGGTATCTACAAGTTGCAAAAGGTGAAAAATTCTCTTATATTTGACACAAATTCTTCACTAGCACACGAATAATATTTACTTAAAAAAATCTTAGCTCGTGAACTTAAAAGACAACAAGTTAGAACACAATATTAAGAAAATGCGCTAATTAAAAGTTTTTTGCGTTCTCTATTAGTTCTATTTAAAATTAAACTAACTAAAACTAACCTCAAAATGTAAAATACTAAGTTTCTATTTATTTACTTTTAGGCTACAGCTCAAATGCGCTAGGCAGCGTTGGCGTGAGCGTTGGCAAGTCATCGCTTGATCCGCATTCGCATCTCAGACAGCCTGGTAAGTCAAAAAAATAAATTTTTTAACTGCGAATAATTTGAATACGCTTTATTCTCACTTTACGCTCGAAAAGTAGGAAAACTAAAGTGATTTCGAATATTTTATTGCCACAGAATAGTGAAAGTATGGTATTTTATGCCACATTGCTGCATGCGAATATCATTGAGTGCCACTCGAGAGAAAAACTTAAAAAAGGAACAAAAAACAGAAACAAATACTTTAAAAATGCTTTAAAAGCGCTGCAAAACGAGTAAAATCCATTTGCGACGCGCGTGTGTGTGTGTTAAAATATGGCCACAAAACAATGCGAAATCAAAGCGACATTGACACAGAGACGTAACAAAAAACGACAGGACGACAACAACACTTAGGCCACCACACGCATCAAGTAACTATTGTTGCAAGTGAATGTGTGCAATTGTGCGCAAGGTAAAACACTCCACTTTAAAGTGTGCCCAAATACTCGAAAAGCAAAAAATTCAACACAAAAGCCAAGCAACTTCATATTGTGAGTACTTTGAAGGCTGACTGACTGGCTCACTGGCTGGTTAGCGCATTGAGTTTGCCACATTTTATAAACATATTTACATGTAGAAGCAAATCAAACCGAAATTCGCCACTTCACAGACACTCGAAAGACAAATAAAGTGTTTTATATTTGAGAGAGAGAGAGAGAGAGAGAGTGTAAAATGTGGAGGAAAATGAAACATTACTAAAAGCGGCCGAAATGAAACAATTGAAATGCTATAAAGCGTTCTCAATTAAAGTTGAAGCTGTGGCTTAACGGTAGAAAAAGCATAGATTAGGTGAAGCAGGGGCGGTGGGAATCAGGGAATTGGAATATATAAGTGCAATGAAGTGTAGAGTTGAATGCGTCCTCGCAAAACGCGTTCATGAAAGTTTAGTGTTTGGGTTAGTGTTCATTTGCGGTATCTGGCTTGTCAAAATTGGCATTCAATGCATTTTGATTTTTATGCGGCGAATATGAATGAGAAAAAATACAGTTACAGGCGTAAAATATGTCGAAATGTCACGAAGACATACGCGTGCCATTGCGGACAATACGTGGCACGCGTCAGAAGGTCGTACAATGACTAAAACTACTAAAAGCCAAAACTGCCTTTTGTTGAGATTTCAATAAAGAAAGTTTTTCGGCCTGGCAGAAATGCATAAGAAGGCAGTGAGGTGTGCACATACCATACTGTGCAGATATGAAGCTATATTTGTTTATTATCGGTTATAGCATGGGTGAGTAGACAGATATATTGAACAAAGACTTATACGAGAAATGCATTGTGCTTTGGACAGGAAGCTGCATTGACAGGCTTCATGCCTACAAGCAGAAGACTATAGCAAGTATAACAAAAAAATGCGATCTGCAAACGCGTGCTGAGAGTCAGACCAGTAATTGTTAAATAATAAATGCGAAAAAACTCGACGCGTATTAAGGAAATGTAACCTTCCTGCAGCTATTGTACAAGCCATTAGCGAACGGCGAGCACACATTATTGCGTTTATTTTTGCAAATGCAATTGCTTTCCGCTGAGCCTCTTCATATGTACATACATTTATGAGTATAAAATTGAAACAATGCGAACGCTGAAGCCTCAACAGTAATGCCGCTTAATAAAGTCGCTGGGCAAATTTTAGTGAATGTGTGCCTCATGAGTGCTTACAAGTGGTTGTGGCAGGATATGAAAAACATAAATACTGTATTTCAACGTATTACTGCAGTTTCATATGCAAGCACACTTTCGCATACATATTTGCGAATTCATTTAGTCGACAATAGTCGCAATGTTGGGCAACAGGCTAAAAACTTTCAAGCATCATATGCTTAGAAAACAACACTCAAGTTTCGGTACTCGCAAATGTATTTTCGAAATACATTTAGGCAACTGTCGAGTGCTACGCTGTGTATGTAAAACTTACTAAGAAGGATATGCCTGTATAAATGTGTGACCAGGAGTCCTTGAGTACACTTACACACGTGCCATTTTTGTTTAATATAAATAAATCGGAAACGCTTGCAGGCCGTAACGGAATGGCACTAAGTAATGCATATTTTTGTATTCCGTTATAAATAAAAAAAAGAAGGAGTAAGTTCTTTTTTAATGTGAAATGGGAATATGCAGAGATTTGCTTATTTTATTTTTTTTTTAATTTCTATCAAAACTTCCTAAAATAATTGCAAAAACTCTCAGATCCTGAAAAATTATATTAAATAAAAATTAATATTAAGATATACAATAGATGTATATTTAATTAAATTTTAAATGTTTATCTTCGTTAATAGAAAAAGCTTTATTACAAAAAAATAAAAATTAGTTCAAGAAGCAGGTATGTTGACTCAAATGTTAATAATTTATTAGAGACGGTCGCCAGAACTACAACGTAAAAAATATTTAAAACAGGAGTCGTTCGACAGGTTTTTACCACGAAAATGCTTTTCATAAATCGTATTTATCCTAATTGTGAGATAATACCAAATGAGAGGAAAGAAGTTCGGCCGAAATAGTTAATTCCAAACGGAACCCAAAATAATAACAGAAGGGTTAATTATAGAGAAGAATCAAATACAAATTCCTGTACTAAAGAATGATAAAAACACTTGGGGCTGATATAGTAAAAGTGAAGCTATTTTAATTCGACATAATATAGCCGAGTTGACAAGAGAATATATATGTATAGGTATATGAAATAAAAGTGCCTAGCACATAAGATTATGTGGTGTTCGCTAAGCTTCGATGAACGAAGTATTCACCAAGAATTTCTTGTGTTTTTTCTCTGGACCCCTCGAGGTCTACTTTTTACGGTAAGAAAATGTTAACGACTAAACTCTCGCTATGTAACAAGTATATTCTGCTAAAAAGACAGATACGGCCATGTAGAATTGAGTCCCGCTAGCATTACCCTCTATATAATCGAGAAATATCTCTCTCACTTTGAGTTCCTCTCTCGAAAGGTTTACTGTTCTTATCAAATTTAACTCGGACTAACACAAAAACTAAATTTTCACGTATTGTAATACAATACTTTATTATCGCTTTCAAATTAGGCTTATGAGCCAACACAAGCATGCTCACGTTTAACCTAATTTTCTTACATTTGCTATAAATCTCGGCTGGAATGGCCTTTAGTGCTTTCGGCGAGTTTTTGTTTTTTCCGGTTTCGGCTCATTTTAGGAGTGCTATTCGTTGTATTATTGGACACTACTTTTTCGATTACTTTTTATCGTCATTAACAGAGGTGGATGGATGAATCACACAATTTCAAGCAAACACATTTTTTTAAATGGTAAAAATAGTCAGACAAACTTTTGGCGTTATAATCAAATAGCTGCCAACCACATAGTATTGACATATGAAAATCAAACTTCACACGAACAAGAACAAGAAAAAATGTTAACTTCGGTTGCACCAAAGCCATAATACCCTTCACAAATACAAAAGATCCCTTACAAGAATTTGATTCCGTTTGTATGGCAATTATAAGCTGTAGTGATCCGATCTGTACAATTTATATGGATATTGCAATATTATCTTATATAATAACCCACGCCAAATTCATAACCCACGCCATCACATAAAAAAGTTATTGGTCCGATGTCGGCCTTTCCTGAGCAGCTTCTTGGTGAGAAAAGAATGGGTGCAACATTTGAGATCGATATCTCAAAAACTGAGGGACTAGCTTGTATATATACAGACGGACGAACAAATAGGCAGACGGACAGGGCTAAATCGACTCAACCCGTCACGCTGATCATTTATATTAATATAATATTTACTTTATAGGATCTCTGGCGTTTCTTTTCAGGTGTTACAAACATCGTGGTAAACTTAATATACTCTGTTCAGGGTATAAAAAGTTGTACGAGTTTTGGAAAAAAAATTTTTTTACGGTTTACGTGTGCAGTTTAAATGGTCCAACAAAAAATTTGATAAGATGATATGTGTATATATCGCTTAATGACTTTCAGCAAACAAATTTTTTCTGGGTTCTCTCTCTTGCCATAAACAAGTTGTGTTTTATGTATCTAGTTGGGGTGCTCCTAATAATTTTGAACTCAAAATTCGTTTTTGAATGGTTACTGTGATAGAAATATTTAATCAGCTTTAATTTTTTTTATTAAAATGTTTTTCTTACATATTATTTTTAACACAAGCAACCACTGCGTTACATTATTACGTAAAGTAACATTACAAAAGTTGCGCGCATACAAAACAAGGTATATTTTCATGTGAATGCCGCTATAAATATATTTTTCATATATGAACTATGAAAATCAAGTATTTATAATATTTATTTATTTAAATTGTTTTTTCCAGATCCATATCAAATGTTTGGGCCTACCAGCAGTCGACTAGCCAGCTCTGGTGAGTGACGTAACCTTATATAATACATATGTATATGTACACAAGTATTACTGAGTTGTATGTAAATAGTTACTATATTTAGTTGAATGTTTTAGGCGCGTATTGGTTTTAAAGTCATAAAAGCATAAAGATGCAGGTGTTGAGATTAAATTTGCGCACGCACGCCAACAGCTCAAACACACTCCAATGTGACAACTTAAATGTCAAGCGGCTGTCAAGTGTGCACGTGCACAACTTTGGAAAAAGTATCGAGCCAGCTTACTGCCTGGTGGCTGCATTCAGATGGGAGTTTACCCCACGCATTTTGCAGGTTACTAAAGTTGCTTTCTAGGTGTGTGTGCTATAAGTTAGTTAATAGAAAAGCTACTTAAAATTCACTTGCAACATGCTATTACGAAAAATTCTTGCAATGCTGTACATTTGCATTCATTTGTATGCATGCAGCTGAACGAAATTCTTGAATATATTTATTAGTACGAATATTATACAAATCCCGATTAGGTGTAACCGAGCCGAGTGTGTGATTTTTATCACTCAAAAGTCATTGTCTCTGGCAAGCGACCACGGCGCTGTCTGTCTGCGTTCAGGGGGTTCCCCCGAAACACCTTTGAATTAATTATAGTTTGACGCAACTACAAATTATTTGAGTTACCCTTGTAGATCGCCATCCATTACCGAGTGCGCATGTGTGTGTGTGTGGCGTGCGCCGAACAGACAAGGTGTTTTGTGAAATTATCCCTTTCGTAGTCCGAACTAGCTACAACTCCATAGGGGTGTGACCTGAATTGAGTTACTTGGGTATGCCTGTGTAAGTCATCATGATTCTTTTTCTTCTTGCGCTTGTAAAATTATCATATTTTTATTGTGTACAATTTATTTGTATTTTTTTGTGTGTAAATCTGGCGCACGTGATCTAGAAATTTATCAGTTGACTTTTGTGAGAAATTATTCAAGTTTCTATTTTCAGGCAGTGTGAAAGGGTTTGGCGCATTATATGAAAGGGTTATGTGTTAGGTGGCATTTAATGGACTATTATGTTTGGTTACATGGTTCCAGATTGTAGCTGTCATCAATTAAAACTCATTTTGATCGAAATAAAGAGTTAATGTGGCTCGCTTCAAGTTCATTAAAGATTCATAACGTATGCCTTTTTGTGTGTTGCATAAAAATATAATGTTTTGTGGGCGTGGCTTACTTAAACAAATGCCCATTAATCTTAACAACGTTCGGAGATTGCATAGAACATTGTATTTACTCGCTTAACGGCCAGTTTACATTTTAAGTTTTTATTTTCTTAGTCCAAATTGTATTTTTATTAAATCGTTAATAAGTTCCCTGTGAAAATTTTTGTGGGGCGTATATATGCGAAGTGATCAAAGGGTGCATAATTTCCGTTAGCACGACAGTATAGCCCTATAACCTAATTAGAAGGTACCCAAACTAAAGTGTGAGCTTTGCAGTATTTTTCACAAGTATCGCCTGAATGCTTTCTGTCGGAACAAGAGCAGCAATAACAAGAGTAATCCAATGAAATTTATTAAAAAATGCCATTTACGAAAATTCGTTAGATTACACTATTTTTCCATGATGTTCAGCGAACTTTTCGCATGCGATTAGAGCAAATTTTTCTACCTCTAGCCCTACACAAGTCGTAGATCCCTACACGTTATGCATTTAGCATCATCAATAGTAATGATATCGAGATAAGGATAAGAAAAAACATCTGAAAGAGACAAAGCTTTCGCGTGTTGTCTTATATGCTTAAAAATGATACGACGAAAAAGGTTCTAGACTAATAACAGATATTCTTATTATCTGCCTATTTTTGTAGATATAATTGACACGTTTTATAAGTTTTTATTTTAATTCCATACATTATTCATTTTACAATTTTGAAAGATATATTTTGTATATGTCTGCATCGGCCATTAAAGTTGAGTGCTTTGCTATAATTGGATGACCTAATCTAAAATTTTAAAAGCTGCCAATAAAGTTCATCACTATTTCGGATGCATATTAGGCCTAGTAGAACCTCCATTGGTCTGATAAAAAACGTATAGTAAAAGTACACAAGTTCCAACATCAACCAAACACCTCACCATAAATCAGAGATGTAAATATAAGAGAATACCTAATCGCAATCAAAAAAAAAAAAAAAATGCGGAAATATCCACGAAAATGTTTAGTCTTAACAGTAAAGACTCTTTCAGAACTTTAAAGTAAAAGATGAAATTAAAAAATTTGAAGAAACAGCAACAAAAAGGCTGTATCGCGACATATAAATGAAAAAATTTGGAACGATAGATAAAAACTAAACTTAACTTTTTAATAGTGATTGGAAATAAAATAATATGTCTGGCAATAGATCTTTTAGATCATTCAGCTGGCGAAACCCCTGCCTTGGGAATCTCATTTTTCAGCATCCGACAAATTTTAATAATTAGATATTATTTACAAGTAAGGAAGTTATAGCAGTCTGTGTTGAACCAGTTCGAACAACAGGTCCTTGCTATGACAATCATAAGTCCTTGGAAATTCATCTAAACCAATCGGGGGGAAAAAAATAGTTAAATAGTTTTATATTTAGATAGTCCTGGGCCTGATCGAAGCTTTTTTTCTTTCAAAATTTAACAAAATGGCGGCCTCAGGAAATTTTTTTCTAGTTGAGATTAAAAGTTGATCTTAAAAAATCGAATTTTTTGAAAAAGCAAAAATCCTTCGATCCGAGTTTATTATGTATTCTAAAAGCTGTAAAAATTGCATTCGAATCTAATGAGCGGTTTTCGAGTTACAGTTGCCACCAGTTCAAAAAACATTGTTTTGAGAAACACGCATTTAAAGTTTTTTGCAGCTACCGCTAGCGCTAGCGTGCGTTCTTTGTTACTTGTCGAATAACTCAAAAAGAAATTATAGGATCAACTCGAAATTTTCAGAGAATATTTTCAAGATATTACACTTAACGAAAATTTGAATTTTTGAAAATCCTGAGTATCCTTAACCCCATAAGCCTCACTCTGGTGTATGCTTCGTTCAGCACACAAGCACTCTCTTGTACTACATCTTAATTAAAGTAGTTGAGAATTACACAACAACAAGATAATTAATAGAATAGCGGAACGAAAAGTTTAGTGTTGATTTGAAATTTCTTGCTCTGCTGCGCTAAACGTATGTGATGCTTCACTCACTTCTCTTTGCTCAATAGTGAATGGTTCATACACCCTAACCACTATGCGTTAAACGTTTAACGCAACCTTTTCCGAACTCCCATTAAATGCTTTACTTCAAACTATCATAAATTCTGAAAGATGTTAAAAACAATGCTCTGAGCTTTTTCTTCTAAGAGTGCAATATAATACAAATAAAAACTAAATTTTAATGCTCATTCATATTCTGAATTCGTCTTTTCCATATCGTCGGTAAGAATTCGAACTTCAACATTTATTTAAATATATACTATCTGACACAACAATAAATGTGCACGTTATGTCCTAGTTAAAAAATCTTGAAATATCCTTTACAGAACTCACGTAGAATGACAATCAACGTATTCAAAGAATTTCGATACTGAAACAATATCTTGAAACCCTTTTTATTTATGGATTTTCAGCACGAAAGTTGTGGCCAGAACGATGAAGCAAACGGCACTTTTGGCAACACAAGCAACGGCAATGAAGTGTTCAAACAGACAAAAGTCACATTAGCCAAAAGAGTTAACCAAAACATGAAATTTAAGAATACTCAGGTACATAGAAAAGTATATTTCAAATGTCCCACTTCTACATATTTTATTTCTGACAAACAGACGAAATAAACAAACAAAAACACGAGAAATATTTATAGGTAAGACATAACTTGGCTGACTGCTTGGCATATGCTGACCTTATTTTGCATAACCTTTACAACCGTGAACCACAATTGCGAAATGTTTTTGACTCGCCAACCGCCAACCGCCAGCCGCCAACAACCAAACCGACTACTGCATATACATACTTAAGGCTTTGTATGTGTACATTTGCATGGCTTCGTCAGCTAAGCGCGTGCATGGAGTTGTGTTCCAAAAATCTATACTTTCTCCAACCAAGTCAACGTGCAAAACGCCATTTTATATCGTTCTCGTCTCCCCTAAAAGCTAACGGAATTAGCATAAAAATGTCCTATCGCGCCCACTATATTCCGTCGCGACAACCAAATTGTGTCCATGTGCGGCACTACACTACATTTATGTACAACTGCATATATGTATGTGCGCTTGCACCTTACATATAAAGTTGGCTGGACTGTGAGTGGCCTGCCTGGTTCCAGTTACCTCGCAATGGTGGCACGTTTGTATGTTCGCGTGCATTTAAAATTGAGCTCCATTTTGATGAACCTACAGACTGACTTGCCAGAACGGAAGGACGGCTGTCTGAGTGGGTGGTCATGTTGCGCTTTCGTCTTTTATGTTATTCACATTCAATTTTCCTTCTTGCCACAGCAGGCTCTTGTTGTTTCTTAAAGTTGTCGTGACTTTTCTAGACCTGCACGCTAGCAAGGCGTTGTACTTCAGTGCGAAGTGTCTGTTTGTACTTTACTGCCTCGTTGTACCTTGTTGCTGGCCTGCTTACAGTCCCTACATACAAGCGCTTGAGCGCTTGTGTTTATTCTCTACAGTTTTAGCTCCACAAAACTTCTTTTTTTCACTGCTCTTTCCTTTTTTAACTACACTCAAGTTGTACTGTCGTTACGACTATGTGTAAAAAAAGAGAAAATAAAAGAATCGTGGTAAAATATTGTGAAAACTCATTTTCAGCTCCGGTTTGACTGCCGTGCGCTTTCGCTCTGATGGTGGCAAAAATGCTGTTTTTGATTAATTATGGCTTCCTTTTTACACGGAACCGCTTTGTTACAGCAGGTCCGGTCCGCTCGGACTACGTGCTTTCGACGCTTGCTTAGGCCATGCCGCCGAGTGACGTTGGCAGCCAGGCAAATTTCGCCTTGCTGTTGCTCCTGCAGTTCGGAAT